CTTGATATGGAAGTATTTGAAGCTATAGTACATGAAGTTATATTCAAATATTTCAAGGAAAAAGACAGACACTATGGTAACTACTATTAAGTCGGGTTATTTGGTGGTGAAGCACTAGGTTGCTGAAACAGTCATGCTTTGACCTGTATTGTTATGTTGTCATGTCCTCTTTTATCTCAATCTCTCCCTTATTCATTAAAAAAATTATTTAGTTATTTTTTATGTTTTTTTTAATTAAGGGGAAAAATTTAAAACATTAGCAGGATATATTATAGTAACTTTTTTGAATTCCTAGTAACTTGATTTGAAGTCCTGTAATACTCCCACTTCTTGTTTTGACTGATTAGACTCTGTTCCGTTCTGTATGATATCAAGTTTGAGGGTATAGGCAACTCTTTGAAGGCAATAAGATTCACTAAGATGCCCATTCTGGTTTGACTATTATCACTTTTGGAAGTCCTGTAATGTTTACAATGTTTACATTTTATTGGTCTTGTTCTCTATTGTTTTGTTCAACTTTATAATACCTAATGAGATAGACAATTCTTTTTAAGGAAGCAAGAGGCATTATGGTAACCATTGTTGATAACCTTGTACGCTGTTTTTACATCATGTAATACGTCTATCCTTGGTTTTGACTGACAGTTTTGTTTTGCCATATTTGACTTTATTCTCTTCCAAAAAAAGTAATAAGAACTAAGGAGTAATAAAACCCAAAATGTGTAAATTGTGTTGTAAAAAAGAGAGGGAAAAAAGTGCTCTAAAGGATACAGCTGCAAATGTGTTTAGGGGTGTTAAAAAGATCACCATATTAATGTTTTTGGTTGGATCATTGAACACAACTGTTTACAGTCTCACTGTTTGAATGTCCACTTTGTATGCTTTGATACTGTGACTTGAGCAACTATCTCTAAGATGATAATGTGTAATCTATTAACTGGTGAATTCTTACTGTTTTTTTTTTTTTTTTTTTTTTTTTTTTTTTTTTTTGTAGTTCTGTATTACTTGTACCCTTTCACCACTTTGTTTTGTTTTGTTTTTTCTCTTTTTCCTTTTAAATAAAATTTTAAAAAAAGTTGCTCAGGTCACAAGATACAGGCATGTAAGATTGATCAAACAATATATTTCTCTTTGAATAATTTATTTCCCTTTTTCTATATCTATTGTAACTTTTGGATTCTATTTATCCTCAGTTTCTGACACTAGCGAGACAATACAGAGTTTACACATACAAGTACTATTTATTTCACTTATGAGCATGGTTTCTAGTTGCATCCACTTACCTATGAAATTCTCAAGTTTGTTTTTATTTATGGCTGAGTAATATTCCATTGTGATCATGTTTTAAACACATCCATTAGGAAGATGAAAAAATTTCGTACATTCACCCAAAACTTAACTGCACAGCCAGTGGTGCCCTGAAAATAGATGATGAGAGACTAGGAAAAACCTAGACACATACTGTAAGGAAAGTTGGGACTGAGTGACACCTGACCTCCATGAGACCTCTCTGACAACCCAGCATGTTCTGCGTCTTTATTTATACACAGAAAAAGAGGGGAAGTGTGTGGTGGAGTCAAAAGTACAAGATCTAAGTGTTTTGCTGAGAAGACTGAAATAGAAGCTCTTTCAGAGCTATCTGTGCTGTAGTTAACAGGCTGGATACCTGCTGTTAACAGGCTGGATACCAGGGCAGACACCTGCTGGGCGGGCTTTGCTCTAGTCCCATGACTTGTTCACGTGGTTTGCCTCTGACACTCCATATTCTTGGAGATGTCCTTACTCTAAACCTGAATGTGTGATCAGTCTCCAGCTCAGCTGCTCTCCACATGTCACCCTTTTCTATTTCTTACTTGCAAGAAGTGGGTGTTCAGTTGAAGTTGGAGGAGCTGTGTTTGAAGGACTTTGCAGAAGACCTTCTTTCTTGTAGAAGGCTTTTCTTTCACTTTCCCAGGAATCCCCAGTAAAGTTTCTTTCCATGAAAGCTCCTCCACCTTGAACCCTTTTCACTCTGAGTGGACTGACTTCTTTAGGCTAAATATTGCCATTCCAAGGGTTTCAGGTCCCTGTGTTTTGCAACTTAACCCTAAACAGTCTGTTAACCCATAACAATTGTCAGTTACCAGTGTAGCTGGAACTTGTTAGAAGGTATCAGTAATCAGAGTTTCTTTTTCATAACTAGCTTGTTACTATAGCATTGTATTGTACATCTTTTTTAAAATTAATCTCTTGCTATCTATCAATGTCAGTTAAGCCTCCTCAGGATTTACCTTGGAATCATGTACTGTGCCTCTCGGTCCTTCTGTCAGTGTCAGTCATTTAGATGACTCACAGTCAGTGCTTTACCAAGTTACTGTCCATGAAAGCTTGGGAGACATTTTTCTCCTGGTGATGCTTCTTAGGCACACTATACAGCATTGATCTTCTTCTGTGGCCAAACAGTCTCTTTGGTCAGGAGGTTGGGGAATCAGTTATAGGATGTCACATCAGATTCTCTTATGTCTTGGATTCTCATTCAGCTTGCATGGGCAGGGTCAAAATACTGGCTGTCCTCTTAGCCCACTTATCTTTCTAGTTAGCTACTTTAGCTATTGAACATCCAGATAAGAAAAGGATAATGACATTACATTGTACTGGGAGCAGGAAATTTAATCATTAGAAGTTTTATCTGAATATCTAGCACCATGAAATATAAAGTATAACCAAAAAATTGTTATTTCTTCTCAATCATGGATATTCTAGTATTTTAATTTCTGTAGAATGTTAACAGAAAGAAGTTATGCAATTTTATAGAGAAAAATTGAGATAAAAATCCATACACAATATTATAGAGTGATAATCATGATGAAATTTTTGTAACACACTTAAATTTCCATTTGGGCATAGAATTAGTCAGTCATCTTTATCTAGTAAATAAGAAGTTTTTATCTAATTTGTTGTCCTATAATGTGATGTCACTGAAGTGTGTGACATTTTCTAGACAGATTAATGTTTAAATATCTGTGTAGTGTAGTGATACATACATTGCATACATATCACATAAATGTTTATTAAAATATTATTATTGACTGGTGACTTCATGTTGACTTAATACGAATTTCCTATCACAAATATCTGGAGTGCAAGAGAAATGCAGATAACTAAATCTGAAAGATTCACTATAAACAACCCCAATTTTGCATTTTGGAAGATCTCTACATCTAGAAGGCATAGAAGCATTTAATAAACTGTGAGACTAGTAACAATCATCATAGCCATATGGAAACTGTTGTTTCTTAAATTAGTTTTGTACCAAAGTGTCTTTAAACCAGAAATCCATATTCTCTTATTGCTAGAAAGCTTAATTTTTTGATGATGAACAATGCAAAACATATCACAATACTATATTTTGAGCAACAGTTTAGAGGTGTCTCCCATAAGGCTATGGAGATCATTGGTGCCTCCTATTAATGAACAAGAACTAGAGAATTATTTCAAGGTAGCTGCTTTCTTATTAATTGATTGGAAAAGTTTCAACAGCTTTTTCCTACCCTAAAAGATTTTTGTTTAATTAACAAATTTTTGATGACTTGTGAGAACCAGATCATAATACATAACACATTACTTTTGAACAACAAAAGACTCTCAAGTCAATACATAAACTGCCATATTCACTAGATTTTTAAAACCAATTTTAACATCATCTTGACAGGTTGGCAACTTGTTTGGAATTATGTCTTTAATTTTGATAGCATTTATTTATCAGCTGAATTAAATTACAGACAAATGTTTAAAAGATCAAAAATGCAAGAAGAAAAATTTGTTGAGCTCAAATAAAATAGCTATTTTCAAATTAGGCAGATAGACAAATATACATAAGAATTAGGGTGCACTCAAATATATTTTCAGCCAAATTGAATTGCAACTTTTTTTACAATTTTTGTTTGCAATTATAAATAGAAGTCAGAATTTTTTACAGATCACTAACAGATAACTCTTATCAGAAAAGTTTGGAAGGAATAAACGTCTATTATCTATAATTAATATATTTTTGTGTTTAATTTTATCTTAAGAATATTGTCAGCTTTTATGACTCTTTCAGTCATGTAGCTTCCAGCTCAGTTATCTCCATATACTTTGTCACATAACTCAGAGCTTTGCTTTTGAAAGAAAAGCTGTCACACTTAATATAACTTGAGTTAATATTATCACTTATGTAGACTCCCTTTGCTGGTGCCTTTGATTTGTCATTATCTGGGGCATTCCTAGACCCCTTGTTCCTGGATTGCTAAGACTATTCCCAAACAGCTCCCTGCTGGTTGCAAATGCTACAGCCATTTGTGATGTAAGAGCAGTGAACCTGTGTGCTCAGAGGAAGGGCAGGCACTGGTGCTCTCCAAACTGACTGAGGCTCAGAAAAGGTGAACTGTGGCTGTTCACTGGCTCTAGAACAAAGGTGTAGTTGCTGCTGGGTTCTAGAGCAGGGCATACAGCCCGGATTCCTTCCTGCAGCTGACATGATACAAAGCAGGCATTTGGGTTCCTCCAACCTCCTTTGTCCAGGCCAACTTCGGGCTTGGTGGAGCTCTTGGTTCCCACCTGGCTTGTACCCCTCAGCCCTGTTCCCTCCCCACCTGGAAGTCCATGAGAAGTGGTGAGAGGAGTGGAAAGAAGTGGTTTTCTCCCTGTCAAATAACCCTTTAAATGCCTGTAGGGGTCTAGATAGATTTATACTGGCTTTCTTTTTCCCTAGCCTTGCTCTGAGCTGCTGTCCCACCTTTTCCCAAGGATTTAAAATTACAGTTCCTTCTTACAGAAATTGAATAGAGGCCTGTTAAACAAACAAAGAAATTTAGCAAGCTATATAGTCCCGATAAGCAACCCTCTAATCTTAAACAAAGTGTTAAGTGTTTCAATATAAAGTCTTTTGACTCTGAATTTCCCATCATTTTATACCCAGTGATTACTCAATGTACTCCATATCCCAGTCCTGTTGCATGCACTCCCAGAATATCTCCTTGTCTCATCTTACTGTGTTCTCTTGTGCTCAGGTCTCACGTTGGGGCACCAAGATCCATGACCCACAGCCAGTGGGGTACTGAGAGGGGGTGATGGAAGATTAAGAAAAAAATTGGGTACATATTGAAAGGAAAGCTAGGACCAGGTGGACCTGACTTCTCTAAGAGAGAAACACTAACAACCCAGCATGGTTTGCATCTTTATTTATACACAGTAGAAAGAGTGGGGAGTACATGACGGGGCACAAAGTGCAAGGTCACAGCATTTTGCTGATAAGATTGAATACGAAACATTCTCAGAGCTATCGGTGCTGCAGTTAACAGGGAGGAACACCAGGGCGGAACACCTGCTGGACTAGCTTTGCTCTAGCCATGAGTGTGCAGTCAATATCCAGTTCAGCCACTCCCCACAGTTAGCCTGATTCTTTTCTGTGTTCTCTTTAGTAACTACCTTATCACATATACTACGTAAATGAAGAAAAATACAAAGAATATATTATATATGGAATGATGAAACAAGTTCTTAGTGAATTTTGAGTGCTGATGAGCTGTCTTCTCTCTGTCTCTTTTGAAGTTGGAAAGACAAGATGCATCAGTCTGAACTTGCACATCAAAAATTTCTTTCAAGTGATTTTGTCAACATTAGTTCATGTTCATGTGCAAGAAATCTTTGATCTTCCTGAAAGAGGTTACTTGGTTTAGTAACATGACAAGGCCCAGAAGAGTACAACAAAAGCTATGTCAGAGCACCGTGTGATGGACAGGACATTTTTATACATTGACATTGAAGCATGACCTGCATCTGCTTTGAAGGAATATGCTGTACATGGTGGCTTGTTGTTTTCATCAACATTTCTCTTTGGGTCTTTAAAAACTCCAGCTGAAGCATATGCTCATCCCTTTCTGACAGGTACTATAACAATGACTGTGTCTGGAAGGCTGATTTCATCAGGTACACTGGTACGTGGGCTCCTCTGTGCCCTCAGCAGGATATTCCTGCTCCTGTTTCTTTGTTGCTCTTTTATATCTTGACCCTGCTGTCTGCTGTAGTAGGAGAGGAACAGAGTCACATGATGAGAGATAAGTTTCAAGGACGGGGACGTTCTGTCTGGATGGCTATGACAGCATCTGTGCTATTAAATGAAAGTGAATTTCAAATTTCCTACTTTGTACCGGCAACTAACACTGGATTAATACTTCATCCCTACATATATTTTTGATGTTCATTGGGGTACACTGAATCATGCAGAAACACCACTCCATTGAATCCAGGAGGTATTTGTGAAAAGGTTTAAAAGACTTTAGAGAAATCACTAGTGTAATATTTTTATTCAAAGAAAATACACTTTATACATGAGAAATGCATAGTAAATTTCAAGATCATCTTGATGGGAATCAAAGACCAGGGAGCTCAGTTAGGAGGAGGGAGATAAATACATCACCAGAGTCAGCTCAGCAGTCTTGTTCTCAGAAACACTGCTCCGACTCGGAGTTTCATGAGCTGTGTCTAGAAAAAGGGCATCTGTGCACTAGGTCCCTGTGCAGTGGCATGAAACTCCAAACTAACTCAGGTCCAAACATTGTAGCTATTATCAGAACACTACATTGTGTTGATTTGTACCTAGATGTCCCCACAAAGCCTCATGTTGGGGAGCTTTTCAGAGGTGCTGGATCTGGGGTGTGTGATGCTGAGATAAAGACTGTGAAGCTAGGATTAGGGGTGCCCCACCTGGGATGTAAGGGTAGTGTGGACAGAGAAAAAGGGACAGAAAGGGGCTGCTGCACCACTGACTGCTGCTACATCTCTGCTGCCTGTATCTGCCATGAGCTGTTTCTCCCCTGTGATGCCCTCTGTCACACCCTCCTGCCTTGCAGTCAGTCAATTAGAGACTAAAACCTCTGCAGACTGTGAGACACAACAACTTTTCCCCCTTTAACAAAATGTTGAGAAAATTAAAACATTCAGGACAGTAGCAATTAAGTAAACATGACTGCCTGTCCTCAGTGTTTCTCTATTTCATATGTTGATGCTAAATTGAACACACACACACACACACACATGCACTGCCTAATGCACATGGCTTAAAAAGCATGAGTACCTTGAAAAGAGTGTAGCAAAAAAGAATCACGTGGATCCTAAAAACAAAAAATGTACTATTTTCATCTTATTTAATAATAAAGATGCAATTTAAAATGAATTAAGAATCTAAGCAGAGTTTTCTACAAAGATTATATAGAAGTGACCAGAAAGCTTATGGAAATATGCTAAACATCATCATTTATTAGGGAAATGCAAATCAAAATTAGGACAGCACACCCTTCACACCCATCAGCCTGGCTATGATTGACAAGAAAAAAGTAAAAGGTACCAGCAAGGATTTGGAGAAATCTCTCAGAAAAAGTGCTGGTAACAATGCAAAATATTAAATCCACCTTGGAAATGTTTGGCAGCTCTTCCAAACATGAAAGGTGGAGTCACCATGGGACTTACCTATAACAACCCAAATATGCACACAAAGAAATGAAAATGTACTTGCTCAGATGTCATACACAAATGTCCATGGCGGCATTGTTCATGAGATCCAAGACGTAAAAGCATCTCAAATGTCTATTAACAATGACTAGATTAGCAAGGAGCAGTGCAGCCATACCATGGGATATATTTCAGCAACACCAAGGAGGAAACAGCGGTACATCTTCAACAGGAATGAGCCTTGAAAATGCTCACGGAGAGGCTGGGGATGTAGCTCAGCGGCATAAGCACCTGCCTTACAAGTGTGTGGTCATGAGTTCGATCCCAAGTACCAATAAAAACAAAAAAAATAAAAAATAAAATAAAATAAAATGCTCAGGGAGAGACACTGGTCAATAAATGCCACATATTATAGGATTCCATTTAGAAGAAATGTTTGGAATAGGGAAATCAATAGAAGTGGAAAGCTGATTAGTGATAGTCTGAGAAGGGATGGGAGAAAGTAACATCTAATTTTCTTTCGGGGAGACAAAAACTGTTCTAAAATTAGTGGCGTTGATTGTACAACATTGTGAATATTCTAAAAAGTATTGAACTGTGCACTTTTGGTGAATGATATGGTGCCATTACCATACATCAATCAAACTGTTTGAAAAAACAGAGCTACCTGGAACAAGGAGGTTAATTAATTAGCACAAACTTGCTTGAACTTCAAGTAAGCACAAAAGCTGGGATCTGACTCAATGCTCATCAAAGTGCAAACTCTATTCCCTTTCCACTCCAAACTGCTGGTGAGTCTTTCTAATCTGAGTAAGAAATCATCTGTGTAGAAGCAATATTTTGCAGAAAAAGATGGAAAGGTTAATTTGATATCACTTTGTTTACACACCAGAAGGCCTTTCCTTCAGGACAAGAATACCCTTCACTGAGGCCTCATACTCTGTGTTTATTGGCAAAAGGAACAATGACAGGGCTGAGGATGTGGCTCAGCTGCATAGTGCCTGCTTGGCAAGTGCCAGATCATGAGTTGAGTCCCAGTACTGAAAAAAAAAAAAAAAAAAAAAAAAGAACAACAGCACAGTGACACAGGCAAGCCATGTGGATGGTTTTCGAGGGAGCAAAAGCTGGTGTCAGCTCTGAAAAGCACGATGATGCGAGAGGACTTTGTACTCATGATATGAAGCCACCCTCAATCCTTTGCCTCTCCTTCTGGCAGAACGTTTGCCCACTCTAGGTCATCACCAGGATGCTTGTTTGCCCTTCCCTCTCCTGTAGCTACCTGCAGTCCACCACAGTCCTCTCTGGGAGTCCGCAGTCAGCTGGATCATGGAAAGGTGGACAGCATCTCTATGCACAAGCATCACAGAAATGGAGAGAGGAAAATGTTCCCACAGAAGAGCTGAAGCTCCAGGACAGACTCAGCCAGAGAAGAGAGAGGGTGCACAGCAGGTTTGCTCCCCGAGATCCATCCTGGAATACAGAGCTCAGACTCTCTATCTGATGAGCTAAGCTACTTCCCCTTAGAGTCCAGCTGCCACTTCTTTATCTTCTTGCACTAGTGTGTGTATGTGAGTGTGTGTGTGTGCAAATTTTAAATGCTGGCTTTTTAAATGCATTCACAGTAAAATGTCATAAAAAGGCACTTTTCTTGAAATAAAGCAGAAATATGAGCAATAAATTAGGTAGCGTAACCAAGAAGCTTAAACATGCACATGGGCTGTGCATCCCCGGTCACCACACACCCTGGAACTGACTGAGCCTCCTTATACTGGGCTGAAATACCAGAAAATGTCACTTTCTTCCACGAAATGCCACAGTAGAGGGTGACATTCTCCTGGTGCATCCTAGTTCTCGTTTTGCCTCCTGCAAAACTAAAAATTTGGTCCTAAAAAAAATGGAGGCTGTCCAGAAGTCCCTTGCATGGGAATCAGTCAATGTGTCACAGAGGTGGAGGGAGGTCACAGTAGTATCTACAGGACACTCCATCAATAAGTGATTCCGTGGACCGTGGTTGGGTAATTTCTTTCTAAGTACAAACTCCAGATTGAAAATTGATACCTGAACAGACTGCGGGTTGTACTGTGTTACTTTCGGCACAGATTATACCTTCAGTAGCTCTAAAAACTACAAAAGATTTGGGTTAACAACTGCATTTAATTAATGAAAATAAACATTTAATTACATATCATGCTACAAATTTACACTATACATATTCTAGACTATACACATGTATTATTTTAATATATAACTCTATGTACTTAAAGTACGTACTTAATGTACCAGCTTACACAATTGTATGTGGGTGGAGAGAAGACTAAACAGATTCACTTAAAATGAGAAATAAAATTTCTGATGAGCCTCTTAGTTATAAGGGATCAAGTCACCTGACAAAGGTACAAAAGCCACCTGAACCCTTCTCTGAGATTTCTGCATCTATCTGGCACACAGGGCTGAAATCCTCACATTTCCTTCTTTTCAAACAGTGCTTGCAGCCAGTTTCTTTGGTCTATTAACTGATTTGCAGGAAGGAAGAGTAAATTGTCCTTCACTGTGCAAACACTCCTGACTTTTTTCCATGAATACAAATGGAAGATTTTTGAAGCCTGACACTTTGCAAAAACATGAATCCCAAGACAAATAAAAGTTCACGAAAACTTTCTCTCTCTCTCTCTCTCTCTCTCTCTCTCTCTCTCTCTCTCTCTCTCTTTTTTTAAAGCTCTGGGTTTGTGGGGGGAGTGGAGGTTATAATTAGGATTCTGACACTGTTGGGCAAGCTTAGGTAAACCACATAAACTTCCTGGAACATTTTATTTTTATTAATTACAAAATGTATGGATTTGATGTAGCAAAGATTAACTCAATGATCTCAAATACTTAACAAGTCTAGACAACTGATAGTTTCTTAATTTAATATGCATGGGATTCATGCTCTTCTCCTTCTCCTGGACTTCTAACAGACACTGTTGCCACATGCTCTCCTGTGTTCTGTGCAGTGACCCATCAGAAGCAATCATTTGATAGTATTGGAACTTTCCCTTGTATCTTTATTACCCCAGTAACATGTTAACTTATATACAAGGAAGGTCCAAATCTCCTACTGTGTTTCATCTCCACATTCCGGCTTTCCAAAATGAACACAGTGATCCTAAGTATGAAGTTCCAAAAAGAGCTGAAGTAATAAATGATTTAACAGCAGTAAGTAATAAAAAATGTGTTTACTCATAGTATTTTAGAACAAAATTCATCTCCTATGTTGTGTTCCTGATAGGAAGCCCCTGGGGATGCCTTCTGATGGGACTCTTCAGTGTTTCCCTTTTCCAACATGTTAGTCTAGATGGGATTTAACAGACTTTAGGCTTCCAGTATAACTTGTAAGAACACAAGTATATTGATAGAACAGAACGGAAGGCAACTCAGAGTGTTAAAAGTGCAGCTAACAGAGTAATGATTTGGAGAAAGAAGAGCCTGGGACAAGACAAAGCAAAAAACAGGATTATTCTCTCTCTCCTTTGTCTTTAGTGTGCCAAATATGTATTAGAGCCCAGGCCACATGAAGGTGAAGGGCTTGTGG